TGGTGTTCGGCCAATCACAATGCACTGGGTCAGCTGGCCAATCAGAGCAGACTGCGCTTGTCAAAGGAAGGGGCTTTGTTGAAAACGACGTGTTTGAGAGAGGCGGGGCATAGAGGACCTACAATAATGTACAGTATTTGAAAAATAATGTGTTTTTTGAACATTAAAGCGTGTCAAAATATTCTGTTACACCAAATACACAAAATAATGATCTTTAAAAAAGCATCATATGACCCCTTTAAGTAAACAATATAAACTGTGAACTTCAAACACTTAAAATGAGACAAAATGTGGTCTTCAAAAACCCATAAGCAAGTCATAATGCATGTTCTGCATGAAAAGAAAAAACATTTTGGTCAATTTGGCTCCTTGAATGTTGAAAGAGGCTGATGTGAGAGAGGGAGAGCTGATGGTCTCTCTTTGAGATATATATCCTGTATAGGACACTTTGATATGATTGAGTCTAAGGCTGAGTGCTGAGACTGTCTGCACTGAACATCTCAGCATACATAGATACAGTTTAATCTGTTTATGGCAGCACATCCAGTCCAGCATGTCAGAGCAATTATTGATCTGGAAGAAAACTTATCCTTTGCATTTCATGATTCTGAATTATGGTTGTGAGTTAATGTGGTACTTTGCAATATTTCTATAAGTTTATTGATTATGCGATTCACATAGGCTTCTGAGATGCCATGAAGACAGAGAGTTGTTTTGAGGACCCTAATGATTGTTTTAATGTTTTCAAATAATTTTTCCAAATAAGCCTAAAGTGATTGTTCACTCAAAAATATGTCATATGATTTTTTTTCTTCTGTAAAATGCAAAAGAAAATATTTGGAATGTTTTTGGTTCGTACGGTGGAAGTCAGTGGTAAACTGTCAGCAAAAGAAAGTAAGTCGTACAGGTTTGGACCAACATAAGGGTGAGTAAATCGTAACAGAATATTAATTTTTGGGTGAACTATTCCTTTAATATGCTATAGACAACTATAAGTATGCCATAGAAACATTGAATCTATCAATGGTGTGCGTTTGGTATGCCAATGTGAAGCTGGTGGTCCAAAAAAAACACACTTCCGCTTTAAATCTAAATCACTTTACATAAAAAATGTTCAATTTTAAACATGATTATGTAGATCATTGCTCAGTCTCTAGGGGTCAGGAAACCAGTGAAGAGAACGTCAGATGTTAGCCCCAAGTCTGTCAGTATGTTTGTAGCTTATGATCATGAGCGTTTTCTACAGTTTTAAGTGGTTTGTTATGATGTGAAGCTCACAGCATGTGTCTTCTGGGTTTTGAATGTGAAGCTCTATGAAGCTCTTTGGGTTATTATGGTGTGACAGCATGTTGTATTTCATAACAGTTTCCATACGTGGGACAGCAGTAACGACTACAGACTGTTAATAAGCTGCCATAGGCATTTGATTTCTCCTCAGGCATGTTTCCGAATCAGCCAAGAAGTTCTCCTCTCTCTGTCATGGAGGAAGTCAGCATTGGATTTTGTAGGTGGAAATGTGTAATCCTACAGACTCCTTTGGTTTGGTTACTTAATTTACCACAATGTTGATGAGATTCCTAGTTAGTGAATCAGTGTTGTTGAGGATGGGATGGTGGGATAATTGAGTACATCATATCGGCATTACATAAAACAGCTCACAGTATTGAACAAGCAGAACGTGTACAGATAGCCTACATTATCACTGGAGCAAAATTTGTCCTTTTACATGATCAGAACTGGCAGCCCATCAGCAAACACAGACTAGGTTGGCTTCATTTATATGTTAAATAGCAAGGATTTCTTCATGGATACCTGTTTGCTCCCAGATTATTTTAGGATTTTCATGTATTTCTCAAGATTTTTGTATTCATATTTGTTATTATCCAAAGTCAAATCAATCAGTTAATCTGCTATATGTTACTGTAGATCAGAGGTCACCATTAGCGCAAATTAGTCACCAGTTACCATCCAAATCTTTTTTTTTTCATAGATAGACATAAAATATATAAATATATCACAAAAAAAGCATTTATAAGGTTTATACAGGAATCACAATTTAAGAAGCAGTGAATGAAGTAGATGCCTTTAGTGTCATCTATTTTAGTTTCTCCAATCGATCAGGTTCACTTATAAATGCAACAGCTAGACAGAGTCATTGTTAACACTGACATGAAAGAAAAACTTTTTTTTTAAGTATATTTTGTGTATTCACCTCACAGACTATTATTTGCATAATATTTTCCTGAAATGCACATTGCTTTTTGTTCATTTCCTAGCCAAAATATTGACTTCTGAATAAGCTATACTTTATCTTGCCACTTTTGATTGTTCAAACCTTCCCTGTTGAGAAGAAAATTTGGAGGTTGGACCTATTTCCAACAGTAATTGTATATTCCTATTATATATTTTGTAGTTTATGCTCATTCTCTATAGATTAGGATATAGATTACTCAATGAATATAAGTCCCAGATGCAGGAGCGGAAGTTAATTTCTTTCACAGTCTATATTCCCTCAGCAGAAGAGCCCCAGAGTGCATCAATCCACAAAACCAACCTGAATTCAGAGCAGTTTCAATCATGTTGTGTTTGTCTGTAAGTCCAGCTCTGCATGATCTCAAAGCTTCAAAGGGGTGCGATTTCCCATTGCACAAAATGTATTTCATCTGCATTGCCTTTCTTGGAAAAAAGAAGGTGCTCTGGAAAAACAGGTGTAAGAATGAACTGCTCAGTAATGTTGGCATGCTTAGGCTGGTGCATGGTGAAGGTCTCTGTTGAATTGGTTCGAAATACACTTTTCAGCTGTAACGGGTAGATGTTTCTTCACATTATGCCTCCAGTATAGCTCTAGTAATGTACAGTTACATGTTTCATATGTACATATAGAGGTCATAGTCAGTGCTGCAGTGATATATTTCTTAGCCATTCAGGAAGTGACCTTTTAGTGGCAGATAAGCAAGTAGTATTCTGTGTCAGTTCTCAAAAACTCGTTTTACTTGGCTTTGGTTGAGAATAAAAACAGGGAATACTGATTGTGTTGTTCACAGTAGCAAAATTGGATTGCAAAGTTGGCTTGTTTTTGCCAAACCAATTAACATGCATCTCAGTCAAGGTGTTTCCTGCTGTGTCCTTGTGATGTACATTCAAATGAGAAACATTTCATCTCCTTTGTTTTGTCCATTTTGTTTCCTGCTTCATTTTATGGGGTTTTGATGGAAGGCATTGTGACACTATATCTGTGTAATGGCATTTCAGTCAATAGCGCACTCTGTATCTGTGGCTGTCAGACCAAGAGACTCGGATGATCTAGTATTAGCTCTCAGCAAACAACATTCCATTTACTTCGGGTTTCACGTTTATTTTGTTTCTTGCTTGGTTTTTGTCACTGAGAAAATGAAATTCTATTTTTATTCTCAAACCAATAATTCAGCATTTGCTGCACCCACGCAGTAGAGTGAGAAATGACTGTTATTCCTGTTAAAAGCACCAAGGACGTTTCTACTTGATGAAAACTCATGAATTTATGTAACTACTAGCCAAGCATAATAGATCAAGCA